TTGTAGTATTTTAAAATTTCTTTTTCTTATTTTACAAGATTATAACTCCATTAACTTAATTAAAAAAATAAAAATAAAACATCTCCATATTTCTTAAGTTATTTGTCCATTTTAATCATGCACTCTAACCTTAATTTTAAAATTTTAATTCACCTACAACTCTATCCTCTTAGAACTGATCTGCGTCTTTACTCTTAGAACCTTAAATTTTTAATTTATTCTTAAAATAATCTTATGATTTTCCTAACTAAGTTTTAAATAAGTATCATTCTAAAAGTCTTAAAACTATATAATAAAATTAGTCTTAATATTCAACTATTCTTAGATATTTGTTTAGAAGTTTTAAATTTTGATTTTGAATGTTTCTAATAAATTTTAGTAATATTCATGTTAAATGTTATTCACTTTTAACAAGATTTAGAAAATGGGATTAAATTATTAATGTATTAAGAAAAAGCAAATAATTTTAACATTCGAGAATTATTTATGTTGTGCTAGAAATTTGAAGTTATTTTTTATTGTTTTTTGTGCCTCTAGTGATGTAACCAAGAAGAATTTTTAGAGTTTTTCAATTTTTATAAATGTAAATGAGTATAAGAATTTGTTTATAATTTTTACCTTTTATTATGTTTTTACTGATTTGGAAGTTAATGGATTTTATAATTATACTTTCTATTTGATGTTAAAATATTTTTTCATTATCTTATATATTTAAAATGTTAAAAACCGATTAATCTGACCGAACCACACCAATCCGATTTAAATTGGATTGGTTTGGTTATCACATAATAATGAATTGAATTGGTTTGGTTATCACATAATAATGAATTGGATTGGTTTAAAAATTTTATTAACCGATTAAATTGGATTGGTTTAAACAATAGTAAAATCTGAACCAAACCACATCGTGAACACCCTTACCTATTGCCTACCGAACCGCCCTTCTCTTTTCATTTTGGTCTTCCTCCTTTCAGTTTCATTTTCCTTTTCTCTCTGCAAGTTGTTCTTGCTCTCCTTTCCTCCATTCTTTCCTTTGAATCACTTTAACATTTTTCTTCTTACAGTGTAGTGGATCAAGTAGTGGTAAGTGAAATTTAAGTATTATTATTATTATTTTCTTTATATTTTATATGTGTTTTATTTTTTCTGAAATTTAAACCATCGAATATTATCATTAATTGGTTCATTAGATATTGGTTAATAGTATTAGATTTTCTTTTAAATAAATTTGATGAATAGTTATGAATAATGTTTTAATAAATTTTTAGTGAAATTTTAATCATTAATGACAAAATTTTTATATTAAGTATTTGATATTAGCTAGCATTTTCAGATTTGTTGTTTTGAGTATATTTTAGGGTCAATATGATTTTTGTGCGTTTTGAAGGTTTTATGCAAATTTTCATGTCTTACCATTTTCTGCATTTTTTATCTCTTAATTAATTATATAAAACATTGTATTTTTCATAGTTGAAGAGGGACCAAAAGTATGTAAACTTTAAAGTTGAAGGATTTAAATTTTTTGGTAAACTAACCATGTTAGTCCCTCAACTTTTTGATTTAGGTCAAAATTATGCTAAAACTTTAAAAGTACTAAAAATGTCCTTAAACTTTAATTTTTGGAACCGAAATAATCCTTGAACTTTTATTTAGTACCAATTTATTCCTTAAATTTTGAAGACTTAGACCTTAAAACTTTGATTATAAGTATCAATTTATTTATTCAACTTTATAAATACAATTAGAAAAATATATCATGATAGTAAAATATAATTGTTTGATTTTATTTTATTAATTTTTGAAAAAGAAATTGATTTTATGGCAAAATAATGAATTAAGTAACACTTTTCACTGAGATAAGTACTATTTTGGTATTAAATATTAAAGTTTAGGGATAGTTTCGGTATTTTTAATGTTTAGGATAATTTTGATATAAATATCTAAAATATTAGGGACTAAATTTGGTATTTCAACTTAACTTCTTAGCAATTTAATAATTGATCTTATTTTGTTATTGTATCTATTTTAAGTTGTATTATATTAATTTTAAATGTAATTTTTATAATTTAATGGTATGTATAAAGAAATTTTTAATTAAAAAAATATATAAATTAATATTTT